AAATTAGCGGTGTCATCCCCATACATAAGTCCGGAAATCCAAATTCACCTTTAAATTACCGTCCTATATCACTGACCAGCATTCCTTCAAAAATCTTGGAACATGTCATATTTTTTAATGTTATTAGATATATCGAATCTCATACCGTAAACCAACACGGATCCAGAAAAGTATTATCATACGACACCCAACTCCTCGAATTTTTACATAACATTCATTTTAATTGGGAATATTAACAACAAACCAACGCAATCTTCCTTGATTTTTTTTAAGGCTTTCGATAGAGTTCCTTATAATCGCCTTATAATGAGACTTCAACAGTTAAAAATTGACCACTTTATAATTGGTTGCATTTCTAAATTCTTTTTCTGATCGCTGTCAATACACCGTTGTTAATAACTCAGTGTCATCTAAATCGAGCGTAACGTCCGGCGTTTCCTAGGGAAGCTTGCTCGGACCACTTCTTTTTACAGCGAATCTGTTTATGGCTAGGGTTTCGTGGATTTCTCGTGTGCACTGACTAAAAACTCTAAGCTCGCATCGCCGCACGCGCCGCACGCGCTTGCCTTCCCTGTATAAAAGATTCAAAGAAAATAACCCAAATAAAGCGTTGACGAACGCGCGGCAAGATGCCATTTTTTTTAGGCTTTTGCTTTAGAACAATTACTGCTGCAGACGCCGGCACGTGCGGCGCGTGGAACACCATTTCCTGCATTCTCCTTGACGCTTGGGTAGTTTAGCAATAAGTATATTCAGTAGATTAGTTATTAAGATGCACCATTTTCAAGATCAGTAGACTCTCAGGTAGATAATAAAGGTTTCTCAAAGATTTGCCGCTGTGCGACCCGCGTCGGCAATGTCTACACCCGCACCGCCCTCTCTTTGTCGTCGTTCCAATCCCCTCGCTTGCGTGCCTACTTTCCTTTCCTTCCGCTCTCCCAGGGTGGCGGTCCCGTCGCGCGTGTCTAGTTTCTTCCGGCTCTCCTGGGCGGGTCTGTGTCGTCTGCTAAACAGCTTCGCTGGTCATCCACCTGCACTGAGTGGAATGCTAATAATTTGTATTATCTACATTAATGATCTCCCTCTTTGTGTTTCTTCCACAATCCGCCTTTTCGCAGACGACCGCGTAATCTACCGCACTATCTCGTGTGCCGACGACCACTAATCCCTTCAACCTGCCTTGTCATATGTTGCACATTGGTGTGATAATTGGCAGATGTCACTGAACCTAGATACATGCAATATGCTCACCTTCTCACGTCTTTTGTTGCCGACTTCTTAATTAACAGCATTAACGATATTATACTCGGTTCATCCTCATCTTATAAATATCTTGGTCTTCATATAACCAGTGATTCAACACGGATCACCCACGTCAATCGCATTGTTGCTAAGGCAAACAGCACACATGGATTTTTTGCGACGGAACTTGACTCCCCCACCCCCCTCCCTAATGTAAAGCGATTTGCATATCTATCCGTAGTAAGTTCCAAACTAGAATACGTTGCATCCATTTGGTCTCCGTGGCAAAATTAGCTTAGAGACGACATAGAAAGTGTACAAAAAAGAGCGTTACGATTTATTTAGTCCGATTGTTTTTTTTTTTATTTTTTTTTTACACAACGGTGTCTTAATTGTGGAAACTAAGGCGAAAAATATTTTGTTTCACACTATTTTACAAGGTGTACCACCATAACCCAACGATAAAAAATAAACTATTTCCTCCTCCCCCTTCATTTATTTTTAGATTAGATAACAGCTGTAAAATACAACCCACATATGCATCCATCACTTCTTACGCTAAATGTTCCGTACTTTTCACAATAGTTGGATAGACGTATCTAAAAAGCTTCTAGGCGAATTTTTGGAATCCACGAAGAGCTAGTATTTCTTAATGTAAGTGTAAACTTTGTGTCATTTTTTTTCTTCAAAATGATGCTTTTTTTATCAATATTTATGTTTTTTTTATTATGAACTGCTTATTCCTTGTATTGCCCTGTTCCAGAGTCTTCAAGGTACTAATAAATAAATAAATAAATAAATAAATTTGACCCCTTACATATATATATATAAATGGTTCGTACGCTGTGTAATACTAGTTTTAATAAAGCAGAGACATTAAATTGAAGACTGCGTTCTTTACGCTACATAATGCTCATGGCATCATTAATTGCGGAACGCAAAGTAGAATATCGCAAAACGCTGCAAGTACTTCTTGTTAGCGTCGTGTTGGTTTCGGTTTCTATTGCTGGGATCCGGGATCTTGCCATGACGTCCCGGATCAGTGAGTTCAACTATGGTGGAGGCAGTGTTGTGCCCGTTACCGAAAAGAAGTAACGAAATAGCGTTACTCGTTAGTTTGGTAAAAAGTAACGCGTTATCCAGCTACGTTACTCTTTTACAAACGTAACGATATACCGTTACCGTTACTTTTCAAAAATAACGAACGCTACTTTTAAGTTACTTTTCTGTTCGAGTACATATATTTGGCAGAGATGTATGATAAGCCTCCTTAACAAGCTTGGATAAAAATAAGAAATTACAGAGTGGTTTCCTAGTGTTTTGATGCGCGAAGCAGCTTAATTTTCGGCACGCATATTAGGCATTGAAACTGTAAATTACCTGATTCTGTCTCCTTTAGTTGATACATTTCATTCAGACCAGCTGGCCATGGTGACGGACTTTCGTTATTCATGCCCATCTCACGCGCAGAATGAGTCGGAGATGTTAGTCAATCGGCTTTTATAAACTACAGTGTGCGAACGAGGACTGCTGGAACACAACCAGCCAACCAACACCCCTCATCTTTACGCCGGTTTTAGTAAGAGTCCGGTTCATGCTATTACCAGAGACTGATTTACTTCACTATCTGGAACAGGACACCGGTTACCAGCGCACTGGCTATAATCACTTGATGCCTCTTACCAGCAGTAGATCTTAGTTTTTCTGTAAAAAAAAAAAAAAAAGGTTTCGTGTTTGTAAGTTTTCTTTGCAGGTTTAAAACTTTTTTTTTTATTTTTAATCATGACCTTAGGGAATTAAAGACTAATCAAGCGAAAGATTCTTCTGTGTACAAAAGTGGGTCAGGAGGGTCAGGAGCTTTCAGGCAGGGACGGGGAGAGCGAGGGTAAAGATATTCCACAAAGGATGTTTTTTTTTGTTTTTGTTTTTTAAACTAGAGAAATGAGCAACTCGCTTCGCCACTAGTTGTCCACTGTTGTAAACGAATGTCTCTCCACGGCTCCCCCCCCCCCCCCTCCCCCTATGTCCACTTCTGCTGCACAAAGCAGGGGGGGGGGGGGGGGGAGAGGAGGGAGTGGAGAAGGCTGTAGCTAAACGTTTTTTCCGCCTTCAAAAAATGAATTTTTTTTATTTTATTTTTTTTAATCTTTACTCTGACGGATGCTGGTTCCGTGCAGCGATAAGCTGGTGCAGGATTTTGAGATTAGCTCGTGCAGGGTTTCACCAGTTTTGGTCAAAAGTAACGAGTAACGAGTAACGAAATGTGACAGCCGATACCGTAAAAAAGTAACGGAAATACTTTACTTGTTAGTCATTCAGAATACTAACGAGTACGTTACTGCGTTAGCGAAAAATGTAACGCGTTACCAGTAACGTCGCTACTAGTAACGCGTTACCTCCAACATTGGGTGGAGGCCACATGTGCCTCGAAAGTGTTGACGGGGTGCGTGTGCACTTTATGGGCTATGGTCAAGGAGAGCTCAAGAAACGCAGGGGGTGGCATATTATACTAAAGCTTATCTTTCTTCGTGATTGGTCCGTCGGTGTTCTCATCGGCTAACGCAGGACTTTCATTAGTTGCGGAGCGATAATGAGATTCTTATTATTTGCCATGACTTTCTCAAGCTGTCAGGGGCTACGCGGATAGGAAGTCGTCTGCTTCTTGTGCAGGAATCACGGTGACGTCAGAACAACGACGAGCGCTCAATGACTGATGGACAAAACTAGTGATAAATCTCAATGATAGATGTTTTTAGGTTTACGCACTATTTTTTTTAATCAGCCTCAACCAATAGGAGCTCGGCGTCGTTCTGACGTCACCGCAACTCCTGCTCAAGAAGCAGAGGACTTGCCCTTCGCATTAGCGCCGATATGCTTCGGTGGCGCCCTCTTGTGGTTTTCGTTCGTGACGTCACGACCAGGATTTGCCTCGCCGTGAATGGCAGGATTTGCCATGCCGTGAAGCGATGATTGGGCAGGCTTTATACGTGTACAGGAAGCTATGGTTTGGCCAAACCCTAACTTGGACCACGACGACGGTTTTGATCGCGCACGTTGGTAATAGGAGAAAAGCACACCCACCGCGCCAGTTTTGGGACAGCCGTTGTGATGTAATCTCAAGATTCGTGTTGCCAGAAATCGAAACCAAAACCATGAGATAGCAATAACGTGGGGATAAATTATCTATGGCCGCTGGGCATATTTTACATTGCGTTCCCTATGTAGCGATTCAAGGAGATACACATTATTTATAGTTAAAAAAAATCCAATGATTTGATACTTGTACTTTTTAAAAAAAAGTTGTTATAAGACGAATTTTTACCCACCCTTCCAGGAGAAGATAGTTCAATTTACCGTATGTCCTGGAATACACGTTGGCTTTCTTTTTTTTACTTGTTTTTCAAACATTTTTTTTTGTTGTGTGTTATGCAAATGAAACGTTTAACGAGCACGTTGGTAACGGCAGCCACAGAAATTGACTCCCGCTTACGGATACGTTGTGATGACAATACATATATGGAAACTTGTCAGTGCAGTTTCGTCGCAACGACAGTACAAGTATATAAGGGCGACTTAAACACCAACATTTTTTTTTTTTTGTGAAAATGATTTTGTTATGGATTGCGAATTAAATAGCGGTGCAACTTACAGACTTAAAAATACGGTAATTACCCGACTGCAAAGAAGACACTAAGCCGAATCAATATTGAATGCTCCTTGTGCAAGAATTTTAAGGCTTATAGAAACTTCGCACTCGCCTCCATAGGGACGCTCGTGAAGAATTCGCTCTCATCGTACTGCCACCCGGTGGGACACGAACCGCCTTCCTTGGCAACTACGGTAGCGTTGCTGCCACTTGCCGCTGGAACAAGCAGCTGGCACTTTCCTCTGGGCAACGTAGTCCAGTCCGTCGTGGCGATGGCGGATTCGTTGAGGAGGCACCACTGGCTCGGAGCTGTGAGTAGCACGAATATGTGGCCGAAATAACACATGGACGTGTGCCAGGTCCCGAGCACCAGGGTGGCCAACATGACGGTCTTGTTGAAGAAGCCGAAGCCCCCGATTTCCTTGAGCACTCTCTCAAACTCCATTGTCTAGGCCGGGATTTTCGCTGCGCAGGAACAGTCTGAAACGTACGGTGAACGTACACGCGAGCGCAGCACAAACAGTGGAAACACGAGAAGACTGATCTGTCAAGATCTTACTTGCACGTTTAGGTTACGCTAAAAAAAAAACACAAAATAACATACATATTGTGATGAACAAAAATTAAACGGCAGAGGTGTGCAAATGATAGTTCAAAGTGTATAGCACCGTGTTATTCCTAATTTTCACAATGCAATGAAAATCCACGACCACCGGTTTTGTTAAAGGTATCGAAGCTAAAGGATACAACTGCGCTATTTGATTTGAGTCATTATTAGTACAGACCTATTCAATTGACATTTCTGCAGATAAAAAAATATGATCAGCCTCGGTACTGTACTCGAGTATAATAAGAAGTAAAATCATTTGACGGAAATTGGCCTGGTCACAAGCGTGTTTAGAAAATCAGACTATATATTTGTATATGGCATTCCAGACTTACCACCGCCGCCAGTTTCTCAAACATTCCTTATTCATGTAATTAAAATTAATAAATTGACGCTACCGTTCGGGATGTCTAGCCCGAGTGAGATAGCAATCGTGGAGTTAAAATGTTCAACAGGTACTTTCACTGGCAGCTGAAAAAAGAACAGCACTAAAAGCTATATAAAAAAAAAGAGCGCCATTGAGGCACACTAGATGCAGTACAGTTTACCACAATATGAACACCTATTCGCCGAGACAGTTTTTGTGATCGAAATGAGCACGCTTTTACCAGATGCACTTAATTTTAAGAGAAAGAAAATAGCGAAGCTTAATAATTTATTTACTCCAATCAACGTGATCATGGCCGAAACAAATCCTGAACAGCCACCTAAAATGGTGTCGTCGAATGGGTTTTTTAATTGTTGGAGACCGTGCATCTACTGAGGGTGACAAGGTCACAGTGGCCAAGGGACATACCTGGCTGGAAAGCATTCGGTTTGGTATGATTTTTCAAACCAAATGTGGCAGGAATGTCTTCCTTCAGATTTTCTCGTTTCTGGGTTGACAGTTCAGATATCCGCAGAAGCAATTGCAACATCCTCTACCTAACGCTAAACGATAAAGGCAAGCGATGTTATTGCCATAAAGCTGTTTTCAGTAATATGTAATCGTAATTAAGATGGTAAAAAAAGAAAACTTTTCACAAAGGTGGATGCCGCCTGTTATATATATTTGTGTTCTTTTACCACTGGAAATAACGACAGTCAATACAGTGTAACGCTGCGTTGCTGAGCTTATTTTGTGCATAAATGCTTGCCAGATCAACATTGTTTTTAGTATAAAGGCCTGATAACACGTCGTTGTTTGAACCAAGTTCAACACCTGTCGATTGCATACAATGAACCACCAGTAACAAGTGTAACGCTCCCGGTGAGCCCGTACCTGTTGCTGTTAGTCTATATTGGACAGCCACAAGAGATCCTAAGCTCGGTAACAAATTCTAGATTTCACTAAACGAAACGTTACATTCGGTTCTACGACTGTTGCCAAAATAAAGATATGAAAATTGAAAACATACCTGAATCAGCTCCTATTCATGAACAAGGACCCCAGTTGCTATGGGGTAAAACGGACCTTCCAGCGGTTTACAGGACATCGTACGTACGCCTCTAAACCGCCGCTGCTTGCTTGCCTCAGCTAGCCAGAGCAAACCGTTGTGCGATAATGACATTTCGCTAGCAACGCAGTCTGTGACGTTGGAGAGGGCGTTATAAGTTCATGCCGCTTATTTCGTCGAAACAAAGATCTAAAACATGAATTATATCCATAGACTTCTTGGTAAGCGATAGCGCAAGTGCGAGCGCTCTCGAAGAGCATCTCGTCCATTTTTTTCTTTCTTTTTTTAGTGCTGCATTAGCTATCTTGGAGTTAAGGGGCGTCTCGTGGCGAGGGAAAGCCTTGACGTCTGCGCTCCCATCTGTCACGATTAAAGCTGCCAGACAGTTGCAAAAGAAAGAGACAGTAAGTGTTTAGTTGAGAAACAAACGTGGGGCCTTGGTGGAGGAATTTTGCTACGACCGGAACGCCGCCAAAGTGGACTTGAGAGATGATTTAAACAAGTAAAACGGTTCGGAGCCCCATTTTACGTAATTAAGGCTACCCGCTTTTAAAATAAACTATGAAAAAGAAAAGAAGAAAGATCGATTTTCTTTTAAATAAAGAACCGAGCGATGTAGGCTTCTATGTGGGGCTGTTCATCCAATTCACGCAGGTCTTTCCAAGTTTCAAAAATCATTATGCCGGCACGTTTGCTATTTATAATAGAGTGGGGCATCAGTAGTTCGCCGAGAAAATCAGGCGCTCTCTTCATGCAAAATTATGACTGTAATGCTAATGACTAAAACATCTTTTAACTGATGCCGATGTTTTCTTAGTGTTGTCCATTGCGTTTCATATAATGCACCTTGGGATGATCTGAAAATAGGCTCTGTGTAAATTTAAGTTTTGCAGACTTAAAGTTGAAATGTGAAATACCGGTATTTTTAAAAAGCAAAACTGGAAAAGAATGAATAAAGGTATATAACACAATATTCCCAGAGGTGTAAATTAAATTTCCGATACGAATAAGAAAAAATAAACCTGTTCAGGCATCATATCGTGTTGTCTGCTTTTCGATACAAAGTCAGCGTCCCGCGCTTTCAACGAAACAAAGATAAGGTGGTGCCAAAATAACCGAATCTGCTATATCTTGTTTTATCTGTTTGCTTACACAAGGATAGATCGAACCTATGCGAGGCCAAACCATATTGAGAACTTTCTTTTCATTTTGTTTTTGTCACGAATAAAATTAAAGGAACGAACCAAAAAGAAAGAAAAATGAACTAGGATTTCCAGAAATCCGAGCAGGTGAATATATCAATATTGCAGATCGTCCTTGGAGGCCCTATATTGGGATGTTTCACTGAACATTCTTCCGGCTCAAAATCTCGCCAGACGACATGTTGACAAATTTACGCCGCATGTTTTCGTATAGGATGAGTCAGTGTTTTCTAGCTTGCTCGAGGCAATCTGCGTTGTGATAGACTGCGTCGGATGCATAGAATAGCACCGGTTGTTACTAGATTCTTACTCATACCTGTTTTTATTTGACTCGACGTAATGGATGTCCCGAAAGTGATTCCCAAAATAAAAAAGACGTGTGAACAAACACAGAGCGACGTCACGCCGCCGAGCGATGAACCGCGTGCGGAAAGTCGCGGAGCGAAATGCAGGCAGTTCATCGCGCCGCGTCGCGCCGATCGCAATGTACCGGGTACAATTGAATAACGTCTCAATAGAGTGTGAAGTAGAGAACTTAACACCTATCCAAATACAACACATAGCACATAAAAGCACGTAATATATAATATTTAACGTTGAAGAAACGTTAAATGCACGACCGTTGCTATCAATATGGAGTGTTTTATTTTGGCAAAAACAAGAGTGGTCTGAAAGAAGAAAGAGGCTCCTTTCGTTAAAAAAAGAAATGCTGTTGCTGGTGCTACTCTAGAAGAGGGAAGAAACAAATTGAATGTCTAGATAGTCCCTTAGATACATGTATCATCGAGCAGCGATATTAAAGGGCTACTCCGGCCATTTTGAGCTACCCCAACTAACTAGATATATATATATATATATTTTTTTTCAGAATCTCCGGCCTTTACCCTTTCCGGTGTTCTATTTAGTATCGCGAAATTAAAAAAAGAGGTTATTGCGAAATTGACAAATAAAAATTATGCGAAAACGAACATACAAGTATACCCGCACTTTTCAGTACCGTGACGTCAGTGGCAGGCAGACTTGCCAGTCAAGCGAGCAGTCTAAACCAGTGGTTCTCAAATGGGGGTCCGTGGATCTTTTGGGACCCGCGAAAGCATTCTAGGGATCCGCGAAGCTTAGCCTCATCAGTCAAGCCCGGCAATAAAAGTTGTCTTTACTTAGATGGAGAATAGACGTTCCAATTTTCGGGTGAGTTTTCTCGTGTACATGTCAATAAGAGTAGTCTACTTCACACTAGCACTTAGTTATATCCATTTATTAGGTCACGAGCATAATCAACCTATACTTTCCCTTCCCTTCACCCCGAATGGGGTCCTTCATCATCTCTGCCGATCCACAAGGGGTCCGCGAAACATCAATGGCTGAGGGCCACGGGTCTAAACAATAGACTATGCAAAACATTTGTTTCGTGCCGTTGCGCGAGTACTGAAGCGAGCTACCAAGGCATTCAGTTGACATCATAAAGCTGCTTGGGATCAGTCGGAAAAAATTTTACAGTCCAAAAAGTCCAGCGGCGGGCACCTCTGCCCGTTGCTGACATCCCGTTTTCGTTCTGGAGAGTAGACTTTCAGGTTGAAAAACATAGTGAGGACCAAACTTGTATATTCAATAACTTCGCGAAAACAAACTATTTGGACTTAATATTTGGGACACCCTTACAGCTATGTTTATTGGTGTGTTTAGAAAACTTTCAGAAAAATCGGGGACCATGAAGAAAACGCCGGAGCACCCTTTTAAGCGTTTATGACCCCTCGTTCGGCAAAAGAGCAAAATATATTTTGTTCTCGTTTCAACGTTTGTGTAGAGGAGTGTACACAAAGATTCATCGCAGGTGTTTGCATAGCAACACACTTTTAGAAAGTCCAGGAACACATTGAAGCAAGCAGCTTTATGGTCGAATGGAATTTTTTTTTTTTTTTCTCGGTGCCCGGCTGTTGATGAGGTCGCAAAATTTGCTTCCAATTTAAGAGTTTATCAACAAGAGGTCATCGTGTCGAAGGTCACATCCAGACACGCGGAGGCAGGGCGGCAGTCCTAGCACTTGACAACCGATGCACATCTGAAGTCGTAGCAGGTATGTTCGAGGAACGGGCGTTGATGCCATGACATATACACACTTGTCACGCACAGCAGTCCTGTAGTTAACATTTCGAGAAAGCATCACACCCACTGATGCAAGCTACGCACCCCACTTGGTTTCTAAGCAAACGGACGTAATGTTCTTTTGTCTCTCATCGCGTCGCGTCACAGCGGAAAAAAAAA